TGTTTTTTTTTTTTTTTTTTTTTTTTTTTTCGTTTTTTCCAAAACAGGGTCTTGCTATGTCGTTCAGGCTGGCCTTGAACTCCTAGCAGCCTTCCTGCCTCAGACTCCCATGCTGGGATTGCAGGCGTGAGCCACTATGCCCTGGATTTGTTGCCTTGTTGACCTGCATGGTACTCATACTTTGGGGGTGCTGGGATTGGACCCAGGGCACTGAGCGTGCTGAGCATGGGCTGTACCCCTGGGGAAGCCTATCCCAGGTCCAAGGTCTGCCATCTTGGCTGGAGCACGGAGCAAAGATGGCTGCCTGGGACCTCTGGGCATCAGATTTTCACACCAGGTACAAAAGAACGAGCCAGGCGTGTTTGGAGGTGATACCTCCCGAGAGTCCTGAGCTACTCTGAGCAGAGGAACCCGTGTTCCCCACAGAACCCTCTGGCCGGCGGCCTCCCCTCCCAGGGGCCATCCTTTCAGCCTCTGCATTTGGGCGGAAGTGCTGTCCCTGCTCCATGGGTGAGACACAGCGAGCCCCTCAGAAGGGGAGGATGCTGAGGCCCCTGGAAAGCCAGAATCAGGTCAGAGCCCAGGGTCTAAAAACAAAGCCACCAGGGGCTCCGGAAGTCAAGCGCGCAGCTCCAGCTGGGTCAGGTCCAGGCGATGAGGGTTGGTCCCGCAGCTTCATGCCAGCCGCCTCCCGAGGACTTGCACCAAGATGGCAATTTCCCCACGGCTGCAGTAACCTGACCCATGAAAAGCCGCAGTCCTGGGGGGACTGGAGCCCCTCTGTCAAGCGGCTCTGCCGGGACTCAGTGCCCCGCGGCTGCAACATGGCTCACCCCAGCCCCATTACTGAGCCTCACGCCTGACTCAAGCACGCAGAAGGGCAGGGGTTTCTCCAGGCTCTGCAGCAGAGTCTCCGGGGTCTCCTGCCAGGACTGGAAGGGGCGTTCCTCCTGGGAGAAGGGGACCTGCTCCTCCTCCGGGGGACCCGCAGGGCTGGTGTCGGGGTCCTCCGTCGCGGCTTGGGAGGAACACTGGGAGCCGTGGTCCGAGCCGCTGCACACATTCACGATGCAGGTGACATTGACCTGGGTCCCGTGGCCGCCAGGAGGAGACTCTGTCAATCATCACAGGAAGGGAGGGTGTCAGTCCCACAGCCTAGAGCATAGGGTGTCCCCAAGGCTTGTCTGGGGCCCAAGGGGCAGAGGGAAGTATGTGGGAAAATACTTCTGAGTACTTCAGAGTAAAATACTTCTGAATACTTTCTGAGGGGGAAAGACCACAGCCCGCCGCCCTGGAGCCTGTCTTCTTGTCCCCCTGCTGCTCCAAGATCGCACTATGGTTGCTCCAGCCACATGCACCTCCCAGCCACTATCAGAGCCCCTTGGGACTCAGGGCCTTTGCACATGCTACTCCTCAGCCTGAACTCTCCTCCCCATCTGCACATGTCTCTCCTTCCTGTCATTCAGGCCTCAATCAAAGGCCTCACTCCAGGAAGCCTCTCTAGCCTCCCTCTCCAGGCACGTTTGCTCCTTCCTGTCACAACCATCACTCCCTTAGAGTGCCTGCTGGACACTGAGCCCAAGAGGGATGGGACTTTGTGACTGTTCCTTGCTATGGATAAAAAGTAGTCCATGAATGCCAGGCATGTTGGCACATGATTGCCATTGCAGCACTCAGGAGGCTGAGGCAGGAGCATCGCATAAGTTTGAGGCCAGCCTGGACCACACAGCAAGACTATCCAAAAAAAAAAAAAGCTCAAGGATCTGTTTTCTTCTTGGTAGTGGTAGTTTATTGTTGTCTTGTTTTGTTTTGTTTTGGAGTACTGAGGAGTGAATCCAGGGCCTTCACACGGAGCTACATTCCTTGCTCCTTTCATTTTTTTGAAAGAAGATCTCCCTAAGTCACTACACTGCTCAGGCTGGGCTGGAGGTTGCAATCCTCCTGCCTCAGCCTCCCAGAGTGCCGGGGTTACCACTGTGCACCACCAGACCCAGTGTTTTTACGTGAATCTGAGGCTGGGGTTAGCTCCGTAGTAGAGACCTTACCCAACATGCTCAAAAGGAAAAGATTCTGAGTGTATGGCTCCCCCGAGGGCCAGGCGCCAAGGACCCGGCCACAGCAGGCCGCACACCCGAAGCAGCTGCCGGGAAGGACTTCAGGCAGGCTGGGACCAATGTCAGGGGCTTCCCACGCCAAGGCCCCTCCGGGACTGAGAGCTGTGTGACTGTGGGGCTGACAGTTCCGCCCGCTCACCCCAGCCTACCCTCCAACTCCCCCAGGAACCCGATGCAGCAGCCACCTGTCCTGCTCAGAACCACAGCACACAGGCCCAGAAGAGGCAGGGCTGAAATCATGAGGCCGGAAAGAAATTTCCACCCCAAATGTCACCCCGAGTCACCATGGCCTTTATGCCTCATGAATGAGTGTGGGGGCGGCTGGGCCACAGCTCTGGGGCTGACGGGCACCCAAAGTGGAGAAAGCTGCAGGGGTGGGAGGGGGAGGCGGAAACAGGTCAGCAATGGAGGCGGAAGAAGAGCCGAGGGGGAGAGGGGACAGGTGGACAGGGTCAGGAGTCCACTCCAGGGCCAAGGAATAAGCCACCCAGGATGCTGTGGAGGTGACACATAGCTAAGAAGCCAGAACTCCATCAGGCCTGGTGCCTGCAGTCCCAGCACTCTGGAGGCTGAGGCAGGAGGTTACCATGAGTTCAAGGTCAATCTGAACTACACAGTGGGATTTTGTCTCAAGAAAGGAAGAAAGAAAGAAAGCAAGAAAGCAAGCAAGATCTGAGGCAGGAGGTTACCATGAGTTCAAGGTCAATCTGAACTACACAGTGGGATTTTGTCTCAAAAAAGGAAGAAAAAGAAAGAAAGAAAGCAAGAAAGCAAGCAAGCAAGAAAGAAAAAGGCAGAAAGTGAATCCAAGAGTTGGACAAAGACCAAGAGTTCACAGCTGGAGCACATTTATTCATTCATTCATTCAACAAACACTCAGGGCCAAGAAGCTCTCAGGTTAGAATGCAGCTGATGAGGGCTGTGTCTGTGACAGGGAAAACAGAGGGGTCTTGTCGGCCTGGGTGGACAGTCAGTGTGGGGCACGTGCTACAGGCGGAGGGGTGGCATGAGGCCCGGAAAAGGCCCAGCAGGCCGGGGACAGCAGGCATGGCAGCTCCAGTCTCTACGGAGAGGTGGCCCAGAGGGACAGTGACCTCCCAGGAAGGTGCCAAGCCCCACCAAGCAGGTGCCACGATCATCTCTGGATGAAGAAACTGAGGCTCAGCAGGATAAGAAGGCTGCTGGGACCTCCAGGGGCCAGAGCAGCTGGGCAGGGACCCAGGGGGGGGACCAAGATCACGGCCATTCCCTGGGATCCCACCAGCTGGGACTGAGGTGACAAGACAGGAAGAGGCCTGGGAAAGTAGATGTCACCTCCCCACTGCAAAACAAGACCAAGCAAACCCCAGGGACAAGGGGACGAAGGGTTCGCCAACCCAGGTGACACCTGTCACAGGCCAGGTCCAGGGCAAACACACTGCTGTGTGTCTTTGGTTGTTTTTGTCTTGAGACAGGGTCTCACTATGTAGCCCAGGCTGGCCTTGAACTCGTGGGGGCTTGGGGATCCCTGAGGAACAGCCAGTCCAGCTAGGGGTGACAGCATGGACAATGTCAGGGAAATTCTCCCATGCCCAGGGGAAATGCGGTTGGGAGGTCAGGAGAAGGAAGGGGCTCAGACCAACCTCAGGTCCGGGAGCCTGGCAGGGTTGGGGCCTGAAAGTTGCACCTTGTGGCTCCACTGAGAACAGGGGAAGGGTGGGCTGGGTGCAAACCAAGCGGGGCACAGGGGACAGGGCTCTGGGGGAGACAGGCAGGACAGAAGCCAGGGGAGAAACACACGTGGCCCCGGCTCACAATAGTTTGACTTGCTTCACCTTCCCATAGGTGCAAATGAGTTCATTAGAAACTGCACTTAAACTTCAAATTTAGGGCCAGGCATGGTGATGCAGGCCTGTAATCCCAGCACTGGGGAGGCTGAAACAGGAGGATTGCATATACTACACAATGAGACTCTATCTCAAAAAAAAAAAAAAGAAAAAGAAAAGAAAAGAAAAAGAAAAAGCCCCAAACAGCAACCAAAAGAATTTCAGATTTTCCACAGTGACATAGGAAGGCACAGGCCGATGTACTGAGTGCAGTTTCCACTGAGACATCTTCGATAGGGTGGGGTTTTGGGGGCGTAACCCCATCATGTCCAGGGGCATCCGTACAAAGGGGGACCACACCAGGTGCACTTCTGCAGCTTACCTGAGCTCCTGGAGCTGGCTGGGGTCTCCCCAGACCCCTCGGCCTTCTCTGCTCCCGGGGCAGCAGTGCCGGCCGAGCTCTCCAGGGAGTTGCTGCTGGAGCTGGGCGCGGTGGTGAGCAGCTGCTGCTGCTCCAGGATTCACACCCCTAAAGAAAAAGCCCCAAACAGCAACCAAAAGAATTTCAGATTTTCCACAGTGACATAGGAAGGCACAGGCCGATGTACTGAGTGCAGTTTCCACTGAGACATCTTCGATAGGGTGGGGTTTTGGGGGCGTAACCCCATCATGTCCAGGGGCATCCGTACAAAGGGGGACCACACCAGGTGCACTTCTGCAGCTTACCTGAGCTCCTGGAGCTGGCTGGGGTCTCCCCAGACCCCTCGGCCTTCTCTGCTCCCGGGGCAGCAGTGCCGGCCGAGCTCTCCAGGGAGTTGCTGCTGGAGCTGGGCGCGGTGGTGAGCAGCTGCTGCTGCTCCAGGACCTTCACACCCCGGAACTTATCCACCGGCAGGTGCAGCTGCAGGGGGAGCGGGCGTCAGCCCACCGGGCCGGGACCCACCATGCTGCCCACCCGTATGCGCACTTCCCCGTTCACACCACGCGCGCTGTGCGCATGCACACACCCCCACCCGCGCCTGCGCACTCTTCCCGGGCGCACTCCAAGTACTCAGGAGGTGCGGACCCTGTGGCCTTGCTCACCAGACAGTCTCGGGGGTGGGGCAGGGTTTTGATTCCCCCTTTGTGCACAAGCACAAGCACTTTCCTATGGTTACCCATCAGCACGGGGAGAGGCGCCCGGCCTAGTGGCCAAGCACGTGGGACCACGCCCAGGCCAAGCATGCCACAGCCACCTCCACCGCTCACTGGAGGTGTGACCCTGGGCCAGTTACTTAACATCTCTGTGCCTCTCTGCTTTCATCTAGAAAGGGAGAGCAATGACCTACATCACAAGGTTGTTGTGAAGATTAAACTGGAAAGGGCAAAGAACAGGGACTGTTGCACTTAAGCCCTGCACAATTGGTTTTGGTTTGTTTTGGTATTTGTTTTTGAGGCAGGGTCTCACTGTGTAGCCCAGGCTGGCCTTGAACTCACAGCAGTCCTCCTGCCTCAGCCACCTGAGTTCTGGGACCACAGGTGTGAGTCACCACGCCTGGTACGTTTGAGTCAGAAGTGGGCAAAGTACTGCCTGTGAGCCATGTGGGGCCTGCTATTCACTTTTGTGCAGTTTGTGGTTCCCACCTATTTAAATAGCTCAAAAACTTGTTAAAGAATAAGACGTAGCTGCCCAGGTCTATGAGGCTGAGCTGCTGTCATGGAGACCACGCTGTCCTCTAGCCTGACACTGTCACTGTCCCGCCTTGGCCTTGGCAGAAAGGTCACTGACCCTGTGGTCAACCAACCAATCCTTCAGCGCTGCAGCCCTTTCATTCAGACTTCCAGCTGTGCTGCCTCAGCCTCCCTCCCAAGCCCCGCCCACTCCTCTGTGACCTCCATCTTTCCCTACATAATGACAATAAATGAGCTGGAGCATGAGCGCCACCCCATACCAGACCCTGCCGAAGTCCCTCTACTGACCCTCCCGACGGTGTCACCCTGGCCATGCAGGTGTGGAAACTGAGGCACAGAGCGGTGAGGGACTTGCCCAAGGTCACGCACAGGTAGAAAACGGTGGGGCTGGGCCCACGATGCCTTTTCTGAATGCCTGGGGTTTCCGCTCCAGTGGCTCAAGATAAGACCCCTGGTTCCGGGAACCTGAGCTGAGCCACCCAGAAATTGCACTCCAGGGCTATTTTTGTCGTCTGTCCACACAGACTGGACATGCGCTTGGGACCTTGGGGTTCTGGGTGACTGCTGGACCCCAGAACAAAAGGAGATGGCAGAGGTCCCTGCCAGAAGTCCCTGGGGAGGGTGCATGCATGACCAGCAGGCAGGACCTGCCTGACATAGAAGTGACAGGCAAGCGGGTCAGTGAGCCGCTGCATGCACAGGGTGGTGGGGAGGGCACAGGAACGGTGCTCCCAACCCCCAGCTGGGCCAAGGCTAAGACCCTGGGGGAGGGATCATTCCAGATGTGGTCTGAGCAGAGGCAGGAGCACAGCTCTCCTGCCACGGAGCTGCTCCTCTCCCGCTGATCACCAGCAGCCACTGGCTCGTGGCCCCACCCACCAGAGCTGTGGCTTCAAGGTGACTGTGTCTGTCTCTGACCCTGGCTGCTTCCCCACTCCCAGCCCTGCTTTGAGCTCCAAGGGCCACAGGTCCAAACGTCACTCCTCACCACCTCCAGAGCAGGGGCTTTTCTGTCGGACCTCACCCCTCAGCTGGTGGTTAGAGCCAGGCAGAACAGAAACCCCAAAGGTCACAGCCGCCTCCCTGTTCCAAAGCCACAAGTTGCAAAGTTCAGGAGCAGCTGCCCCCAGAGTCAGGTTCTGGGGGCTGGCACTCCAGCGGGGAGCACTGAGAGGCACCTCCCAAACTCAGGATCCCCTCAGAGACCCTGGCAGAGCTGCTGGCTGGTTCCTGCAGTGTCTATGTCTGTCTCTGTCTGAGCATGTCTGCTGGCTGCGGGCATGGGAAGTGTGCACACACATGTCCACACAGTGAGGGCCACGGCTAGAGAGGCTTGGTGTGGGTGCGCTGGGGCGCTAAGCAGAAACATCCCTGTGTCCGCATCCTGGGTTATGTTTCTCAGCTGAGCACCCTGGGAAAGTTACTTAACTTCTCTGGGCCAAGTGACCTAGGCAGTAAAATCGGAGCAAGAAGCATATTCCTGTGTCACAGGATGCTGTGAGAATAAGTAACACTCAGCACCACACCTGGCACCCGTTCGACACCTGGCAAACGTTTGCACTGATAACTAGTGAGTCCCTGCATGAGGGTGTGGGAGTGAGCCCACACATGTGCATGCGCTGCTTTTCCTAACCGAAGAAGCAGCCACTGTCACGAGCCCTGGGAGCCAGAGGGCACTGAGCCCCTGCTCACTTGGCAGCACTGGGGCCAGACCCTCAGGCTCCAGCAGGGACCTGAGCCAGCTGCCTGAGGGAGCCCAGAGCAGCACAGACCAAGCAAGGGGTGGGCTGGTGCTGGTACTCCCTGCCCCAGGGGACAAGTGAGGATGGGGCAAAGAGCCTGGCTCAGGACTCGCTGGGAGAGGTGGCCCCAGGGACTGTGGATGAGCACATGGGGCAGCCACAGAATGTGCTGACGCCATGCGCCAGGACCGGTTCCCTGCCCACCACGGCCTCTGAACAGTGCAGCACACAGCGGCTGGGGCCCCCTCTCTGTGGACACAGACTCAGTGTTGGAAAAGGAAGCAGGGGCACCAGGGCCACACTCTGGACATTACAGTGCCTCGAGTATAGGGAAACTGTCAGGAAAGAGGAGGTGGCAGCTGGGCCGCAGGAGAACTTAGAAGGGATGCTTATTCCGCGTGCCCCACCAGCTTCTGCATGAAGCTGGAAAAGGGGAAGAGCGGGGAGGCAAGAAACCATCCCATCCCCACAGAAATATTGTCCAGCAGGGCAAACAGCACTGAGCTGGGAGTCCAGAGACACTGCTGGGCGGCCCTCTCTGCAATGCCCCTGCCACAGAATCAGGAGAGGAAACCCTGCATCCACCTTCAGCTCTGGGCCACCCAGGGCTTCCACACCTCCTGACCCTGGACAGACCACAGAGCCCGTGGTTTCTCAGATAACAACCCAGCCCGTGGGCAGGGCACCAAGGAGAAGCAGGGAGAGGGCAGAGGGACACTCACCACCTTGGCTTCTCTATTTGTGCAGGAGGACTTCTCTGCAAAGAGAGGGCACACGTCAGGGAGTGGCACCAATGCCGGTCCCTGCCCTGGGCCACCCACACCATGCACCAGCCCCACCTCCGTTCATGCCCTGCTCTCTCTAGGACATCCCATCTCCTGCACACACCTCACCCACGGAGATCCCACTACCAGAGCTCTAGCTCCTCCTGCTTCCGAACAACCCCTAGGACAACCTGAGGCTAAGTGAACAGAGAGGCCTCCGCTGCCCCAGGATCTAAGCTCAGAAGGAATCGGACTGCAGTCTCCAGGTCTATAGGAGCCCAAAGTGACACCTAGTGCTGGACTCCCAAACGCCCCTGGACTACACATGCAAGATGGAACGAAATCTTACTTTTCTTCTGAGTCACAATGGCACAGTTCACCAGTCCGATGACCAGCAGCCCCAGGGCTGTCAGACCCACAATCAGTCCTGGGAAGAAAGGAGGTCCTCAGAAACCAGTGTGCAGGTGTCCAGCACCCGCGTGGCTGGGGTTGTTGCTGGGGAGGAATGAGTCTGACCACACATGTCAGCAGGCCGCACGTGTGAGGCCTCCAGCCTGGTAGAGTCCCAAGCCCAGAAGGGAAACAGGTGAGGTCCCTGGCCCAGTCCACGGTCCCATCTGCAGAATGCATTCAGCAGAACCACACCCGAGAGCCACGGGCTGTCAGAAAAACAGGAAGAGAAGGTGGCAGGCCTGGCAGAGGAAGGAAAGGGCCTTTGTGCCCTACCGATTGGCAGGGAGATGCCATTCTTGCTCTTTCCAGTTGGGGGCTCAGGTCCCTCAGGGAGCGGGAAGACGGTGCTGGCAGCTGTGCTGGGTGCCAGAGTTGGCTCCACGGACTCCGCGCTTTGGGACACTGACCGGGGCGTGCGGGCTGGGCCCGGGGCTGCTTCCAAGGTGGAGGACACAGATGTACAGACTGCATCCGTGGTCGCATTCCCAGGGACAGCCACGGAGCTGCACCTGCAGGAGGAGCAGCGGCAGTTAGGTGGCCACAGAGGCCTGTATATGAGGGTGTGTCACGCCTTCTCAGCTCTGCCTCTGCTGTCCCCACAGCCTCTGCCAAGGCCCCGCCCACATCAGGCCCCGCCCTGAGCACCCCGTACTCCAGGCCCTGGCCAAGGATCATCTCAAACCCCAGTGCATGGACGCCCCACTTTGTTCTTTCAGAACCAGGGGCTCAGCCACTCACTGGCGGTGGGGCCTGCAGACTTCAGTGGAGGACAAGGTGTTGGAGAAGGTGCCTGGGACACAGGCGGCGCAATGCACGTCTGAGCTCGCAGTTCCTGGAAGAAAACAGTGGAGGTCCACTCAGCACTCGAACCTCACGAAGGGGACCCGGTACTGGAGGTCTGGCAAGCCCAGGGACCCAAGGACTTCTGCCTGTACGTCCTTCACACGCAAACACGGCTGATCACCAGGATATGTGAATTCCCCTTCCTGAAACATCTTTTATTTTTTTTATTTTTTTTTGCAGTACAGGAGATCGCACCCAGGACCTTTGCACTGACTACATCCCCAGACCTTTTATTATTTATTTATTTATTTATTTATTTATTTAATTGGGTTTTTATTGAGGCAGGGTCTCACTATGTAGTTGAGACTGACCTGGAACTCACTTTAGACCAG